CGAGGGGCCGGAAGCCCGAGCCCGGCCGGGTGTCAGGGGCCGCCGCGGGCGAAGCGCCTGGGCCCTGGGACTCGCTCCGCTGCACTTCAGCCCTTGTCTCCCACGTCCCTGGTCCTCGCCATGTCCTGGCCCGGGGCAAACCCCCGAATTAACTGCGAGCGCCTCGAGTGACACTTTTAACCAGTGTGTGTGTGACTCCGGCGGAACCAAATAGGGTTCCTCGGGTTTTCAGTTGGAAAAGGCCCAGCACTTTACTTACGTTTTCTTTCCTTTTCTGGTTGGGCCGAGTGACTGGGAAAGACGCAGAGCCAGGTAATAAGCTGAGAACCATCTTGCAGTCACAGGCTGTTCCCCAGCTGCAGCTGTGCTGACCGGCCGGTCCGCTGCCTCGCGCGGGCTGTTGGGCTTGACTGACGCATTAGACCACCTCCTCTGCATTAAAACCCGGCTCCGCGGTGCCGGCGCTGTTTTGTGTGCGCCTCTGTTTTGTCCCCACCTGTCAAATAAAGATGAAGTCTTTATCCGGAAAGCATACCTCAGCGACTGGAAGTTCTAACTGGTTGTATAAGTACTGGTTTCATGCTGTTTATGTCCATTTCTAAGTAAAAGCAATTTCTACCAGAAGTTGATGTGCATAGGCTCTATTACCTTTAATTTCCATACTTAAAAGTAATTTTTAAAAATGCAAGCATAATCTTTGTTTCTGCTATTCTAGTACAAAATGGTTCTTTGCATCAGAAGGATACAGTTCATGACAATGACTTTGAGCCCTACCTTTCTGGACAGTCAAATCAGGTGAGTTTATCTTTTTTAGCATGTATTTCTACATTAGTTTTGACTGCGTTATGTGATGTGCCTGTACTGCTGTATTGTCGGCTGTATTATTTTAAACGACAAAGAAGCAGACTGTGGCGTGTGCAGGTAATAGGAAGACTGCTGATGAGGACGAGCTGGGGTTGAAAGTGCAATGACCTGGATTTCTCTAAGGACGTGCAGTCCCGCCGGGGCTGGCATGAGCTGACTTCTAGTTGGCCTCGGCCTTGGTCAGCAACCTGCTGCCTAGGACCAGTTGGAGGCGTGAGAAGTTCTCTGATGTTCTCAGGTGATGGGCATTGTGGTCCAGGAGAGCCGCTAGGAGCCCCGCTCTGGGGTCCAACTCCTTCCTTGGGTTAGAATCTCAGCCCCACCACTGACTGCTGCTCCCTCAAATGGCTTGCCTCCTGCGCCTGTTTCCTTTTCTATAAGCGACAGTGGTGAGTGCCTCACAGAAGTGACGGGGGTGACATGAGCTGGAGCAGGAAGCTCGGAGACAGGGCCGATACAGGGCCCAGTGAGTTGTAGCCACCTGGTGTGCTTAGGGTTTTCAGGTTTCTTGGCCTTGGCACTGTGGACATTTAGGACTGAAATTTGTGTTGTGTGTTTAGCAGCCTTCCTGGCATTCATCCATGAGATGCCATTAGTAACTGCCTCAACCACCACCACCAGTGTGACAGCCAAGTGTCTCCTGGGGGTAAATGGCCCTGGTTAAAGTCACTGGGATAGTTGGAGTTAAGGTTTAATATATAAATATAACATCTCCCACTTTTAAAACACGCTGTGCTCGTTTGCTTTAGAATAAAAGCATGCTTTGCCTCTTCCCTGTGGTGAACTAGAGCCAGCCTGCCCTTCTCTAAAGTGTCTCAGGACTTCTCCTCCCCCTCCCCCCTCCTCCTACTGCGCTACAGGTGGGCAGCTGGGCCCGAGAATCTGCCCTGCCTCTGGGGGGACCAGGAGCCTTGGTGGTCGGTTCCTCCAGTGGTGACAGCAAGAAGTTAATGGGCTTATTTTTCTGATTGTCTTATTTTTTCTTAGGTGATTTAAATACTATGCAAATATTGTGTGGTAATTTTAACCAAAAGGAGGGGTGCATCACTACACTTGAAATTTATTCTAGGAAGCGGAGCTTTCGTGTTACTTCAGGATTTGTTAAAATGGACTAGGTTTCTGGTGTCAGTGGAGTGGTCAGCTCTGTGTCGCTCTGGGGAAGCCGTGTGGAAAGACCCTCGTAGCTGAAGCTCCGTGTGAACAGCCTGAAAACGGCCCCTTTGTCCTGATTGTTAAGAGATGCACTTTTCAGCCTTTGCTTAACAGTAAATCCAGGCTCTGGTTTACACAGAAACACCAGCTGTTTGGATGGTAGGGAGCGGGGAGAAGGGAGAGGAGGGCCCTTGGTCTTGCAGGCGGAGAAACCAAAGAGCAGAGGCAGTCGAGCTTGGCAGTGCAGAGCCAGGCCCCTCCTCTGTCCCTGTGTCTGTGGTCACTGTCTTCCAGAGAATCTGCCCTGCCTCTGGCCATGTGGACCCTGCTGGCAGACAGACTCCTGTCACCCTGTTAGGAAAGTGCTCTTTGCGTCTTGGCTCCCAGTTCTCACTGAGCAAGTGCTGGGTGTCCAGCTGCCAGGTGCTAGTGAGGGAGAGACAGATTGGAGTGGCTGAGCAGTGAGCTCAGTCCGCTGGTGGCACCCGAGAGCTGAGGTGGTGTGGACGTGTGGCTAGCTGCGCAGGCGCAGTTCTAGGAGGACTTACCCTTGTGCACATGCACACCTCGCCCTGTGGTGCTTTTCTTTTAACCCAATGTTTGCTGTCGCCGTCAGAGGCTACTTTTATCTTGTGCGGCCTTGACACTGGGTGACGTGGAGGACATTGCAAGGCCTGCCTGTGGTCGGGAGCCTTGGCAGCGGGATCATTGCCCTGGGTGGGCCCTGTAGCAGAGGCTGGCCATCCTGAGCACAGCTGGCAGGATCCAGAGGAATTAACCCTCATTGTCACGGTGCTCCAACCTCCTCCTCCAGGCAGGAAGCAAATGCAGAAATCCTGTGGCTGCCAAGCTGCCATCTCCATGTGAGCTTGCGGGCTGAAGTCACAGCTCTGAGCTCACGGAAGGGGCAGAGCTGGTTTCCTGCGAGTCCAGTCACTTTGTCACTCTTTTCATAATTGCCCTTGATGCTTTTCTTTTTACATAATTTATTCAAGTTTCTTTTGTTTCCTTTTAAAGTAAATGCTTCTCGGCATAGTGTTCTGTTCCCCGGGCTTCTGACGGGTCCTTGTTTTCTCTCTAGTTTCTTCTATTGGTCACTGATGGCTGAGTCACGTTATTGTTTGTGAAACGTGTAAAGCATTTGAGTAACTTCAGAATCCCTTCCTTCTCAGAAAAAAGGATATAGGAAGCAGATATTTCAACTTTAAAATAAACTTACCTGGTCATTCAGAATGAGAGGTGTTTTTTTTTTAATGTGGTTAAATTTTTGTAAATATGAAAAACTTTAAAAAAATATTTTTATTGATTTCAGAGAGGAAGGGAGAGGGAGAGAGAGATAGAAACACTAATGATGAGAGAATCATTGATCAACTGCCTCCTGCACACCCCTCACTGGGGTTCGAACTGGCAACCCAGGCAGGGCATGAGTCCTGTCCGAGAATCGAACCGTGACCTCCTGGTTCATAGGTATATGCTAAACCACTGAACCACACAGGCCGGGCTGAAAAACTTTAAATTCCAGAATAGATTTAAACCTTTTGTTGTGTTTAACTGTTTGTTTTCCCAAAGAAAACGATCCGGGGATAGTCACTGACTATTTGAATTTGTTTCTTTGGCGTGCCCATTTGTTTACAGTTTTGACTTATTCACCAGATGTCCTGCTGAGTTCAGCGCCTGGGGCTCCTTCTCTATGTCAGAAGGCTGGTTTTGCCTTGACCACTGTCAGTGGGTGTGGCCTGAGTGGCAGTCCCTCCTGGGAAAGTGCCAGGTGTGGTGGTTTTACCTTCTAGAACAGTGATGGCGAACCTGTGACACCTCTGACACGCGAACTCATTTTTTTGGTTGATTTTTCTTTGTTAAATGGCGTTTAAATATATAAAATAAATATCAAAAATATAAGTCTTTGTTTTACTATGGTTGCAAATATCAAAAAATTTCTATATGTGACACAGCACCAGAGTTAAGTTAGGGTTTTTCAAAATGCTGACACGCCGAGCTCAAAAGGTTCGCCATCACTGGGCGAGAAGAAGACGCCTGCTCACAGGTGTCATGCACTAAGAATTTGTTCTCCTTTGGTTTATGCACCATGTCCCTGGTGAATGAACTCCAGGTCACCACCTCAGGTGTACAGTTGACCAAGGGACGGCTTGTTGGCTGTACAGAGGCTAAGCTGAGGCAGGTTTGGGCTGGAGCACATCTTGTCACATCCCGTGTGGGGAGCTCATGCCCAGGGCACAGGGAGGACGTCAGCTATGAGCCCTCCATGTCTGCGTTTTCACTGGTGGGTTGCAGTCCACTAGTGTCAGTTCTCTAAGTTTAGGAACTACCTCCCTCACAGGGCAAGGCTGGAAGCTGTGGTGTGGATGGCAGCCTAACCTGCAGCCCATTCAAATTTCACATGGGGTTGACATCTCCAGGTTTCTTTCTGCTGAGGATGACTTATTCCAAATAGCTTGTTCAGTGAACCTGCTCTGTCCTGTTGGTGTGGCCGGTGCTTTGCAGTCTCATTCCCACCGTCGGCGTTCTCTGTGTCTCCTCCAGCCCTGAGAATAGTTTAACTCATTATCCCCTGTTGTTTCCACAGGGTAACAGTTACCCCTCCATGGCCGACCCCTACCTGTCCAGCTATTACCCGCCGTCCATTGGATTCCCTTACTCCCTTAATGAGGCACCGTGGTCAACTGGAGGGGACCCTCCCATCCCGTACCTCACCACCTACGGACAGCTCAGCAATGGCGATCATCACTTCATGCATGACGCCGTGTTTGGACAGCCTGGGGGCCTGGGGAACAACATCTATCAGCACAGGTTTAATTTTTTCCCTGAAAACCCTGCTTTCTCAGCCTGGGGGACAAGTGGGTCTCAGGGACAGCAGGCCCAGAGTTCTGCTTATGGGAGCAGCTACACCTACCCACCGAGCTCCCTGGGTGGCACGATTGTGGACGGGCAGACGGGCTTTCACAACGACACTCTCAACAAGGCCCCCGGGATGAACAGCCTGGAGCAGGGCATGGTGGGCCTGAAGATCGGTGATGTCACCACCTCTGCAGTCAAGACAGTGGGCTCAGTCGTCAGCAGTGTGGCAATGACTGGTGTGCTTTCTGGCAATGGTGGGACAAATGTAAACATGCCGGTTTCGAAGCCAACTTCATGGGCTGCCATCGCCAGCAAGCCAGCAAAGCCGCAGCCGAAAATGAAAGCCAAGGGCGGACCTGTCATCGGGGCCGCACTGCCCCCTCCGCCTATAAAGCATAACATGGACATTGGCACCTGGGATAACAAGGGGCCCGTGCCCAAGGCCCTGGCCCCACAGCAGGTGCCTGCTCCCCAATCTGCCCCCCAGCCTCAACCAGTTGTGCAGCCTCTGTCAGTTCAGCCCCCCCCTTTGGCCCAACCACAGTATCAGAGTTCTCAGCCATTGCCCCAAACCCGCTGGATTGCCCCCCGCAACAGGAATGCAGTGTTTGGGCAGAGCTCGGGGACTGGGGGTAACAGTCACTCCCCCGGAAGCACCCAGTCTGGTTCTGCCCTGAGCGCAGAATCCCATCCAGTCCTTGAGAAACTGAAGGCTGCCCACAGCTACAACCCTAAGGAGTTTGACTGGAACCTGCGGAGTGGCCGCGTGTTCATAATAAAGAGCTACTCGGAGGATGACGTGCACCGCTCCATCAAGTACTCCATCTGGTGCAGCACCGAGCATGGTAACAAGCGCCTGGATGGCGCCTTCCGCTCCGTCGGCAGCAAGGGACCTGTCTACCTGCTCTTCAGCGTCAACGGTAGCGGCCACTTCTGTGGGGTGGCGGAGATGAAGTCGCCCGTGGACTACGGCACAAGTGCTGGGGTCTGGTCTCAGGACAAGTGGAAGGGCAAGTTTGACGTGAAGTGGATTTTTGTCAAGGACGTGCCCAACAACCAGCTCCGCCACATCCGACTGGAGAACAATGACAACAAGCCGGTCACAAACTCCCGCGACACCCAGGAGGTGCCCTTAGAAAAAGCAAAGCAAGTGCTGAAAATCATCGCCTCCTACAAGCACACCACTTCCATCTTTGATGACTTTTCTCACTATGAGAAGCGACAGGAGGAAGAGGAGGTGGTGCGCAAGGTGAGTTGGGGTCCGGGGCCCTTACCTCACCGGCGTAAAGCCTGGTGATGTTAGAGTGGACAACGGCCAGATATAACTTGATCCTTTTCCAGTTTTTAAGAAACAGTGATTGGGACCACAGTGCACAGTTCTGCTGGGAAGACTTGAGGGTGACTCACTTTTCCTCTGAGTCATGGTCTTTCTAGTCTTTGTTGAGTCAGGGACGCTCTGTTCTTGGGCATTGGGGCCAAAGCGAGGCTGCTGGGCTGCAAGGCCCTACTCACTGAGGGAAGGACACTGATCTGCAGATTGTTTATTTTTTTCTCAAAAACCCAGTATCTTGCAGTTTTGGAAAGTTGACCCAGCTCTCTGTGGATGAGAGAATGGCGGGGGAGGGCACTGGGTTCAGACATGTCAGAACAGCCCAAGCCAGCAGGCCTGGAGATGGGTCTCTGAGGGTCCAGCTTCCCATTATGCGGTGACACCTGCAGCCCGCTGCAGTGGAGCCTGCTCGGGAGAGAACACACAGGTGCCCATAGGCTGGCCCCAAAGTGGGAGCACGAGGGCAACAGAACATTCTGAGGCAACTTAGTCCTGAGAGTCTTTCCTTTGTCTTTGTTTTTAAAATGTCCTTTCTTTCATGAAATGTCAGGTGGTAATCGATTGCATTTTCAGTCTTTTTTGGTTGTCCGTGTTAAAGCATCACCCACCTGTGAGCTTCAAATGTCCCAAAGCATTTAGCAGAAAGGCGGCAAACTGGGCCTATCGTTGGTGGTGGTGAAAGTTTATACTTAAAGGTGTCAGCTCGGTGAGCACACTTGGAAAATAAGTTGGTCTCTCATTGTCCCTTGTGCAGAAAATAGAAAGGCTTGTCATTTATTTCCAGTTACTGAAATGCCGTATTTTAGCTCTTTTAAGTATAGCATAAAATACCTAAATAAGTAAAATTGCTGAATTTACAGCGACAGAACAGAGCTCATTGGTTATGCAATTTGAGGGCCTTAGGCGGCTTGCAGCTGGTTCTTGCTGTGTGTGCAGTTCGTCTTAAATACTGTGATTTCCCTAAACATCATGAGTTTCTAAAGGGGGTGATGAGCAGAGGAATAGATTTCTGCCCCTCACCTGTATGGTGTTTAGAACGTTCTAGTGCCTTAAAACTTGCAATGTAGCAGCTAAACCCTCAGATGTCTGTCAGTGAGTTGGGTGTTGGGAAGTGGAAGCTTGCAGTCAGACCTGGGCACTCAGCTTTAAGCCCTTCCCCAGCCAGCCCACCAGGCCTTTGAAATTCCACTGGGACACAAATGTGGCTTCTGTGGCTTCCCTGGGCATCCCCGGAATGCTCCGCAGATGCCTCCCAGACCTGGCGCTCACCAGCTCACGTGCGTCAGCACCACTTTTAACTTACACGATGGGAGGGACAGGCGGGGGGCTGACTGGTTAACATTCGTGCTCACTGTGCCTTAGACTGGGTGGTTCTTGCCTGCTCCCCAGCGCCTCCCGCAGGGCACTCTGGGTTCCCTGGTCGTCAGGAGTCGGACGCTGGGCTCTGAAGAACAGACGGACTGAGAGGTGTTTGGGTTCTTCAGACCCAGGCTTGTGCTTAGGCTGCCTGGCTCTCAGGACACCTAGGAACCAGGTGCTTTTGCCAGTAAGTTGCAGGTGATGTTTGGCAGGACTGCTGTGCCGTCCCATCTAAGCTAAAATTTGGAGACTCACTGATTCCTTAAGGAGCAGTAACTCACGAGCTGCATCTAACCTGGTCCTGTAGGTGAGGGTCAGTCTCTGGGAGAGCCTGCCCTTGCGTTTTGCTGCTACAGATCTCCTGTGAGGACAGCTTCTAGGGCCCGGCTCCTCCCATCACAGCCCGCCAGCCACAGAAGCCCAAGGGCTTTCAGAGCACCAGGCCAGCGGGCGTGGTTTATGATGGTGGTCTTTGTGAAGAGAGCCAGGGACGCCCAGGCTCCGAGTCGGCAGGGAGGAGGTGCTGGTGCTAGAGCGGTGCATCTTTCAGGGCCAGTTGCTCGTTGGAAAGTAGCGCAGGGCCTCTGACAAGCTCCCTTCCCTGGGTGATGAGGTGGATGTGGGGAGAGAATTGGGATGTGTTGTTAACCTGAAGACACATTCAGTTCATTTTTAGCAAAAGGGGTTCATCTTGTTTCGTAACCCTTTCAGTGTCTAGTCACCCCGTATGTTGGGGACTCTGTCACAACCAGCTCCACGTATCAAGTGTCCTTCAGGAGTTTCGTCCTCACTACTGGACGGGGCAGGATAAAGTGGGCAAGCAGGGCGGCACCGGGGTGCGGGGGCAGGTGCTCCTCTTGGGCACATCCCCAGGTCTCGAGCTAAGCATAGTCACAGCCTTGTGAGGACCCCTGTTACCGGGACCCAGCGAGCGGGGAGGCTCCCCTGGGAGTCCCAGCTTGTCACACCCCCTGGGACACACCAACCAGAGGGGCTTTGCCTGGAACAGGTGGATGCCAGGCGAAGTGGTTGGCAGGCCTGGTCTGCAGAGCTGGAACCCTGAACCCTGGAGCTGCTGGTGGAGGGGAGTATCCAGTGCTGGTCTGGTGTGGCCGGTCCCAGTGGAGCTCGGGTCCAGATCTGTGGCTGCAGCCCCCAAGGCAGCCTGGGACTCAGTTTTGAGGGAGTTGGTACACATGTTCACCCCAGGTGTTAAACTTGCTTCCTCTTTTCTTTTTCACAGGAACGGCAGAATCGGAACAAATAGTAAGGATGAGCCGGTTTCTGTTATGATCTAATGTTTGATTGAAAAGCCAAGTTTCAGAACGTGTGCTTGGTGCTGTGCCTGGGTCAGCCCAGCCGTCTTCCTGTGCAGGCCTCGTGCTGCCTCTCTGCGTTCTCTGTCGTATGTTTTTGCCCAGGTGGCTCTTCACTCATGTGTATTTTTTCTCTGTATTATAGTATTGTAGAACTCACTAATAAAGAAAGTTTTCGTCAGCTTATCAATCAGATTGACCTAATGCGAAATATAAATATCTTTAAAAAAAAACACCTAATGCACCCCCAAAGAATTTTTTTTTTTTGGCAGAAATTATGTGCTTGTTCTTATATTCAGTCATCTAACATCTTTCTTTGAGATTATTTCTCACCCCTGTTGCCTCGTCTTGAATGTATCGAACCATGAATTTTGTCATGTAGCATATGTGTTAAATACTCTCTTCAAAGTGCAAGTGAGCAATCACCTGGTTGGGCTGGTTTGCCATTTTATGATCAGTTACCTGTCTAAGAGGCTACTCTGCCATCTGTTTTTTACTAGAGAAAGATAAATTTTAGTTTTCCAGATTTGGTTACGGCTGTGTTTCCTTGGGCCGCCCACCCTCTCCAACCCTGCACCGGAATAGCACTGTCCAGCGGGGTGACAGCAGGGCCCGGTGAGCGGAGGTTAGGGTCCAGGGTTCAGGCCCCCTCAATGTGTGCAACTCATTGTAACCCTTTATCTTCTCTTGAGAATCCTGATGCCATCTTACGTTTTTCTACCAGTAATGCTGAGCTTGTATTGCTCTGCTCTGGTGGCAGACAGTGTCATGGATGGTGCTGCCCACTAAATCTCACCGCGTGGCTACTTTTCTTTTTCCTGTCAATTGGTTTTTAAAAAGAAAACAAAAAAACTTTAGACACTGAGTGTTCGGTCATGTTTTGTGGAGTGAGGGCTGTTGCCCTCACTGTCACCTGGAGTTGAAGCATGGAAATGGTGCTCTTGCCCGCCACGCTCGCTCGCACACGCATCTACACGTGCCCCCTAGAGGACTTGCCGTGTAGAGAGCACATCTAAAAACTATTTACTCTGAATGGCCCTCTGAGTTCAAGTGTAGGTAGGCTGTATTATTTAGACTTGTGTTTAGAATGTGTCCCTTTCTCTGAACTGTTACCACTTGGATGGAGTCATGGACAACATGGGACACTGTTACCTTGAGAAAAGTACAAGCCTTAATAAACAATCTGTTACCACGCCTGGTGTCCTCTCATTCTTCACCCTGCTTGACGGGCTTTTAAAGGGTGTCCCAAAGTTCATGCAAGAAGTAATTTTGATAGCACAGGTTTATAATTAAAAATTGTAAATTTTTTATTGATTCATAAAGTATACAGTATAGGGTTATGTATGGAATAGCATATCGGGTAAATGGCCTCTACAGCTTTGCTGGCACGTACGCACTCTTTTGTTGAAATTTTCCATGACTGTTTTGCATAAATATGGCTGAATTTCGATGAGGCTCATTTTCATCTTGTTGGCTTGGGCCACATGCCATGCAGCCCGAGAAACAATTCAATTACTGCATGAGTCATTTCCTGGTTGTGTAATTTCCCGTTTTGGTGATCAGCATTGGCCGCCCAGATCATGCGTATTTGCCAGCAAAGCCGTAGAGGCCATTTACCCGATATGCTATTCCATACATAACCCTATACTGTATACTTTATGAATCAATAAAAAAATTACAATTTTTAATTATAAACCTGTGTTTTCTATCAAAATTACTTGCGTGAATTTTGGGACAACCTTTAGCTGCAAAGCCAGTTAAAGGGTCGCCCACTGCCCTAAAGCCCACAGGTCTGTCGGGGAGCTGATGACCCCCTAAGTCCTTCCTCACCCTTGTTCGTCTGTTGGATGTAGAGGAACTTGAAAGACCCAATTCTAACTCAGAGTGAACAGTTCCCTGCATTGTGCCGTAAGCCTGTGAGAAAAGCAGAAGCACAGGGATTGTGCTGTGAGCTGGGCCCACTGCCCCTCCAGCACTTAGCTGCTGACAGGTCTCTCCCCCTCATTCCCTCCTGTCCAACCGCAGAAGGGGTGCCCTCTAGAGAACTTGGTGTACAGTCGAGTTCACCAGGTTTCCCCTTGTTACAGCCTTGACAAGCATGACAAAGCCAGAGCATCAGTGTCATCCCAGAGAACCCCTCCCCTGCACCCAGGCAGGGACAGTCCTGGGTGGAAGGGGATGCGGAACGCCCAGGACACACCACTCGGAGGGTGTCCCCCGCCTGAGAACTGAGCTGCCAGGAGATGGGCAGCTTTGCCTTTCCTCAGAGGTGCTTCTCTGGCTTTATTTTGGAAAAAGTTTCAGACCTGGAGTGTCAGCCCCTCGCCTGCCGTTTCTCGGTTTGGTCAGTGAACATGGCGTGGCAGTGAACATCGTGTTTCCTTCCTTGTGAAGTGTTGTGCTGGGGGTGCTGCAGTTGCAGTGATGTGGCCCTCTGTGTTAGGGCTTCTGGGGTGGGCATGGGAGGAGGCTGTGGCTGGTGACCAGGGAGCACAGGCCTTGACAACACCTCGGTCTGACAGGATCAGTTATTGACTGGCTGTGTGTTGAGTCCTTTAAAGTCACCCGCTCTGAAGGCTTCCTCCAAACCCTTGGAGCTGCCTCGCAGCATTCCTGGCACTCCGGGGTGCCTGGCCTGGTGTGGAGGCCTCGAGGGATGTCATAATGTGCATGCGCACCAGATGCTGCCGGTAGCACATCCCTCCAAAGCAAACCGGGTCGGCCTTTCCCGTGTCCCACCCCAAGCACGCCCTGCGCGGACTCCCAGTTCCACCACGAGTGCTCTCGGTCCCTCTGGCTCAGGATTTCCTCGCAGGGTCTGACGATAGGCGCACAGGCAGCATCCTTGCAGGCCATCTGGTGTGTCACTGTCGCTGGCCCGGCTCACGGGCCCCTGTGTCTGTGGCAGGGAGCCATGGGAAGGAACTGGCTCAGCGCCTGGCTTTTCAGCCAGGATCCTGTCCCTCAGGTTTCTTGCCATCCAGGATTGAGGAGGTTTTACTCTGATAGGATGGAGGCAGGTCACTCGCCTCTGTCCTGGCTCTCATCTGGTCCTCATTGTGCCTGTCAGTAGCCAGGAGCCAGCAGCAGTTTTGTTTTACAGCAGCAAGTGCCCTGACTTACTCCTGCACTCCCAGCACCGCGCCTCCTCTGCACGAGCCCTCCTATGCTCCCTGTCCCCTCCCTGCATCTTCCTACGTTCCCTCCCGCCCCTATGCCCTCCATGCATGAGCCCCATACCCCACAAAATCCCTTCTTTGCAGCCTGCAGTTGCTTTTGCGATTTGTGAGTTGAATTATTTTTTAAAAAGCAACATGTTAGAAAAGGCATTTGCACAGCTATCCTGTACCATAGTTTTACTGTAATCATTCTGTGGCTGAGAGTCACATGGTGAAATTTTTGTGCTAAAAGAACACCCAGTAGACTGTTTCTTCTCAGAGTTCATCTTTATTTACTGGGAAGGACCCAAGAAGAGGGTCTGGATGAAGGGAGACTGCCTTCTAAACAGGAAGCAGAATGGCTTGCCCCTAGGGCAGGGGTGGGCAATCTTTTTGTGAGTGCGTGCAAAAACCAGCAAAATCTCTGACTCAAAATTCTTCTGTGTGCCAACCCTAATTTTTTGAGAACATGTTACTCCTACTTGGTATCTCTTAAGGTATACATATGTGAAGAACCTTGAAGAAATAATAAAATTTATTTGAGCGACAAAAACACAGCATATGATGATGAAAAAATACATTTATTTTTTAATGTATACATGTACACTGAACTAAGGCAGGGAGAGTTAAGGCATAGGCATAGAAATTGCTCTTCACCTCTCTCGTCAATCCATGTCTATGGTCTTTAAGATAACTTGTTATGTAAAATTATTTATCTAAGATGCACCTACACTGAATTTATCTGAAAAATAAAGTCGATATTAAGAAAAAAATTGTAAATGGAGGATTATAAGAGAGGGTTTCATGTGCCAGCAAAAGTTACTGGCGTTCCATGTTTCGCACGCATGCCAGGGGTTTCCCACCCCTGCCCTGGGTTTCTGCACAGCTCTGGTGTGAAGTGGTTCGGAGATGTGAGTGAGGTGCCAAGACTGTCTCCCTGACATTTTGGAGGATTGTCGGGAAACTGGAGACTGCCCAAGTGTCGGCTGGGTCTGGGGCTTCTTAGATACTGATGGCTGGGGGCCTTCATGGCTTGGGGAGAGCTCTCCTCATGTGGGGTTGGGGACCTGATATCACACCCCAGCTATCTGTTACTGAGCACCCCACACTTCACTAAACTCTCATCTCTGCCTTTCCTGGGCCTTCAGCATGTGGTCACCTTCTTAGGAGCACATGGGTCTTCTGAATGACCACAGTTCCAGTGGGTCTGCATCTTCCATTCCGCTTCAAGTAACTGAAAATAGGTCCCCATCCTGTGAGAGTGATGGTGTTGATGGTGATGGTAATGGTGGTGATGATGATGGTGATGGTAATGATGGTGATGGTGGTGATGGTAATGATGGTGATGGTGGTGATGGTAATGATGGTGATGATGGTGATGGTAATGATGGTGATGATGGTGATGGTAATGATGGTGGTGATGGTGATGGTAATGATGGTGTTGATGGTGATGATGGTGATGTTGATAATGGTCGTGATGGTGATGGTAATGATGGTGATGGTGATGGTAATGGTGGTGGTGATGGTAATGACGGTGTTGATGGTGATGGTGATGGTGATGATAATGATGGTGGTGATGGTGATGGTAATGATAGTGATGATGATGGTAATGATTATGATGATGGTGGTGGTGGTGATTATGATGATGATGGTAGAGATGGTGGTGATAACTGCTCACATGTACTGAATGAACATGTCTTAACTCACTCTGCAGCCCGAGATGAGGAAACCAAGGCGCAGGGAGCTGCGGCCCAATGGCTTGAGGGAGGAGGGTACCTTCTGCCTGCTGTTGTCAAGAGGCACCTGCTCTGTCCCAGACTCAGTTGCAGCCGGGTCCCTGGGCAGAATGCAGGAACCTGTTACCTCTCAGCCCATCAGGCTCTCATCCCCAGCAGGCTTGCCCTGACCTCAGGGGCACTTGTGGCCTGGTCCCTGTGAGAGACTCAGAAATATTTGTTGAATGAATGAAGAGTATTTAAGTGTGCAGGGGCCTCTTGTGTGGGCCTGGGTGTCCCTCCTTCCCTCGGAGTCAGGGCAGTGGGCAGTCTCCCAGGAGGAGGGGGTCTGCCTCTGCTGTCACTCTCACAAGAGATGACCTTGGGGGCTGGCCTCTGCTGTCCCTGCAGTGCTCAGGTCCCCACTGGTCCTGTCCAGGTTCACAATCCTGCAGCGGCTTGGAGGCACCCTTGTCTGGTGAGCACTGGCACCTGCAGGAGGCAGGTGCAGAGTCATGTCCTCACAGATGAGCCTGAAGGGAGGGTCTGTGGGCTGGCTGTACTCAGACTCCACCTGGGCTTGGTGTGTGTGCTTTGTGGAGCAGCCCATCCTGACCCCACACAGACAATACCTGCTGCAGACTGTTGACCATTTGCACATTTTGACCATGGCAGCGCACAGCCGGGGCAGGGAGTGTTCTGGCCTGGTCTTGTTGCTCATCCATTCCTGTGGGTGCAGAGAGCTCACAGAGCCTACTTCCCGGGCTTGGTCCCAGGTTGGGGCTCTCAGGAGGTTCCAGAGCCGTCACACAAGAGGACAGCTAGGTGGGTTGCAGGCTGGATCCCCAGTGGTGGGTGTGCAGGAGGCAGCCGGTCAATGATTCTCTCTCAACACAGATGTTTCTCTCTCCCTCTCCCTTCTTCACTGAAATAAATACACACACACACACACACACACACACACACAGACAGCCAGGTGCTCGCCCAAGCCTGGAGGCCTGGCATAAACCCGCGTGGAGGTGCAAGCCTGCTGAGGTCACTGGACTCTGGGGCCGGAGTGGTGTCCCCACCGCGTGTGATCCTGGGGTCAGGTCCTGCCAGGAGGCTGTGTTCCCTGGGGCAGGGAGTCGTGGGAGGAGCTGCCGGGACCACAGGCATCTTAGGGCAGCCTGACCAACCTGCAGCCTGTGGCTGGGGACCTAGCCCATGCGCAGAGCCCTGCTCTCTGTTAGAGGGGCTGTGCCTTTCCATCTTGCTCAGTTTCCTACTCAGCCCCGGGGAGTGGCTCAGTGGCCATTGGCTTCTCTCAGG